CAATTTGGTAAATATTGTGACACGAGCTTTGTGGCAACAAAAGAGCATTTTTATACTAGAACTGTAAATCTTTATATGTTTTATTTTACCTCTGAGCTGCTTTCAGCAGAATCTTCTTCCTCTCTGCTAGTTTTTCCTGTCAGATGAGAACAGAGAAAACACTTTTATTCCTTACACTGCTGTGAAAATGGCCCTGAGCTCTCTAATACCTAATGAATTTTCAAGATTGTGGGAAAAAAACTGGTAGACATTCCATAGTGGTGGCGTCTGCTCTCTTTGATTGTTCATTTTTCAAAGAATATACACTCTCTTCTCACAGTTAGGGTAACAGAGACACCCAGTGGCCAAACAGTGCAAATGGTAACGTACTGCACAGAGTATTTGATACTTCGACTTTGCAGAGGAGCAAAATACATCTGTATTTTAGACAGATGACCATTATTTTAGTCCTCTTTTATCTAAATTACATTTTAACTTACTCTTTGATGGAGTACATCTTATAATTTGGTATACAAAATGAATCTGCACATGCTACTTCACGAGCTGTTTGAATGTCATGGAAGGTTTATGAAAAGAGTAATGTCTGCACAATGACTCCACAAACCACAACTTGATTTAAATGGACAACATTTTTATCCCATTCAGATCTTCATCATGTCGGCATTGAACATGTTAGAACCCTAAGACAAGAAGAGGACATGAATATCACAGGAAGAGTTTTCTTTAAACTTCAAACTCTGACACCAAGAGGTCTGAATTAGGTTAGACAGAGAATATATTTTGTACATTTAGATATATTTTGGGAAACAGCTTCTTCCTGGAAGTTGTCCATAGACTTAATGATAAGATACTACTGTTACTGTATGATAATTGAAAAATATGACGCATCTCTGGTGAAATTTTCTCCCTTTCATTTAACTAACAACAATTTTGGATATTTCTGATACACCTGTATATTTGATGTCTCTTTCCTCCAATTCTTTGGGGTTAATGTAGTTTTGACTTGAGTTTTCATTCTACTGTATTCCAGTTGAATTGTTTGGGTTTATCACCTCTGGCTGGTTCAGAATCACCTGTTCTATAGACATTTTTCGTCTTTCCTTCAATAATGGCTGATTTAACATAGATAAATTTGATATAGTTTTGACCCCAAAAGAAGAAGAATTTAATTATTAAAACTTCTCTTTTATTCAATGTCCTACACTTTTGCATGAAACGGTAGAATGCTGTTGTAGCTATTTTTTACCCGAAATACACTTCGATTTGAAATTTGTTTTCCAGTCCAGAAAAGCGTGACTGACTGTCGATCATTACTGAACCACAGCGGTGCAACTGGGCTCTAAATATTTTGGGAGCCTGTTTTTCTTTGGGCTCTCTGCAGTCTACTCAGTGGTTAGATAGAACAGGTTTAAACTGTGATTTGTTATTCCGATAATGCTAACCATAGACCAACCTTCTATTTCTATTTTAAAGTTTTAAGAGTAGCTTTGCTAAAACAACACGTCACATGTTAATTACAGCTTGCCACTGAACAAAAACAACCTGTATCCAGAAAGATCCAATGGTATACAAGTTTATGGATCTGTATCCATATCTGTATATGTTATCATATAATATAATGTAAAAATAATAAAGATCTAGCCTGTAATCTTCTGCATACTGTCCCTATCTTTGACAAATACAAATGTACAAGCACCGTGGATAGTAACATATAACAGGAACCTGTTCTGATTTAAATCTGCACAGGTTTTGACATTAAACTTCCAATTTCTTTCACCAATGACATCTGAGCTCCCATGTTCTTCTTAACTGTTGCGCAGGAGTATCTCGGTCTCTTTCTGCCCTTTCACTTGTCAGTCAGGTTGAACAATTGTACAGTGTTTTGTTCTCCCTGTACAAAACATTATTTTTTTCCACACCCTTCATACAAAATAAAATCTATTTGTAAAGAGCATTTTGTACAACCTAACAGCATGAAAAGTCCATTCAAAAATACATCTGACTGTGCTGACTGGGGATCAAAACATTGTCCATTTAGAGAAGGCTTCAAGTCAGCGTGCAGGAGTTACTCTTTTCAATGAGTGAAAAACAGTTGAGTGAATCCGGATCATCATATAACCTGCAAGCTGTTGAACAAAGTACAGATTGCACTCTCTTCTTCCTCCACATTCAGACACACTTCTCCTATCATTGCTCTCAGCAGAATGATCGCCTCTCGAGTTGAAGTCTGCAGCTCCTTCACCACCTACAGACAGAGGAGGAGGAGGAGGTTCACTGTCAATGAAAGGGCATGTAGGCGCACTGCCACACATTTGTCATCAGAACCTTTATTAGAATTCCAAGCTGAAAGGCATGCATAGTTGATGCTATTTTGCTGTACAAATATACTAATTAAAGTTAAATTAACTAATGTTAATTTTGGTTCTCTCATATCATATAAATAACTATTTGCAAAACTAACGTGACCAGTGAAATTACAGCAAAAATCATTTGTATTTGACTTGAGTTAATGCAGAAAAGCTCAATATATATATTTTTAAAATAGTCCTCATTTATATGTTTATATATTCAAATTGTATTGTGATGAGTTACACAAATTCAGAGTACACCTGCACCACATCTCACAATATCATCACCAATGCTGAGTGCTTGAATTATTCATGAAGCCAAATATGTAGATGAACAGACACGACTCTCTCACCAGTACAGCCTGGTCCAGCATCTCACACCCCTGCACGTAAGCTGTTTCAATATCAATGCAGTGAGTCCGACTCTCCCTGTGGTAAACGAACAACAGCCAATTTAATGTGTAGGAGAGAAGAGAATTTCAGACAGTCATACATTTTGTGTGGTGGATTCGCTCACACTTGCATATCTCTGAAGCACTTGATGCAAAGCATAGACGTATTCTCTGTTGAGAACAGGATGTAGGGCTCCTCGTGGAGCGCTGTGGAGACAGAGATGCCTTTTAACTTCAGCCCACCAGAGTGTGAGAGTTAAAGTATTCTGTTTCTTTTCCAATGAGCAGGTTTGTGAAAAGCAAAAATAAGAAGTTTCAGAACACAGGTTGGCTGATAAAGGTTTTATACTACTGTCTTACATATTACTTTCTAAGGAAATTTGAGAACAGGAGGGACTACACCTCTCATGAGCAACATGCCTCTATACTGGTGTAACAAAGCCTTGTTTGCCTGTAATTCATCTGGAGTAAAATACAGGTGGCACTCACAGCACTTCCTGTGTTTGGCTTTGCTGCGTTTGGCGAGCGATACAATCTCATGGTGGGAAAACATTCTGGCCTTGTGAGTCAACTCCCTGCAGGCGCCGCACAGTGGCTGGCTACAAGTGTTACAGTAGTACATCACCCCTGTTTCCTGTGTGGGAAAAAAGGAATACAAAATGCAATTGAGAGACAAAGTGGAGATATGATTATGTAATTGTATATCATTTAAAGCTGTACAGGGTGACATTTGATGGAAAAAACACAAAGACATTGTGGCAACACTGGATTTGGACAGTAAGACGGCCCTTATGTTCACCAAGAGTGTCTTATTTCTTCACAAACAAAAACTTGTGCAGTAAAAACTATTTAAAAATATTTGTTGCTACAACAAACAAACAAATTACAAAATCAAATTGTAAATCTGAATGACTTAATGAGACAAATACAAACTGAATCATCATCATGCCATAGTATCTCTCTATGATATAATCCTGTTATTAAAAATGCAGGCCTAATTTGTGAATGTGAACTGATGTGGGTCTGTCTGTCAGTTTGTACCTTTTTGTTACTTTCCTGATCACAGTTGGCACACTGCACGGTCTCCTCAGTGTCTGCATTGTTGTCGACCAGGAACTTCAGGAGACGGTCCTCTGGAGGGAGGGCGCTATTCCCTTTTACAATGGATGGGTAACTGTGTTAGAGACACACATTCACACAGCCTGAGTGACTTGTTCAGAGAAAACCATGACATTTAGCACCAAAATTAGTTATAGTGTCTCTGTTATTCTTTAAGTTGAGGTGTGCCAGGAATAATTTAAATAGTTTGATCTGATGAAAACTAAGAAAGAGAGTAAAGAACAGTGATTTGTTCTTGCACTACTGTTTTTTAAAAGTCCCTCTCCACTCAGAAATGTGTTTTTCTTCTTGTTACTTTACTTGGATGTTTGAGTACAATACATTCTGCAGTGAAATTCTGTCTATGTGCAGAGTTCTACACTAGAAGGCTGTTTTTAGATTCATCTGCTGAAGAAAGGAAGTTTTTCTGTGCTCACACAAGCAGGATTTTGTGACATTGTGACTAGTTTGGGAGCCAATTATTGTTCAATATGCAACTTGTGAAAACTTGAACTCTTCAGCACACAGTTAAACTTAAGAAGTTAAACTGTCCACTTCCCCTAAAACAACAATAACATATAGGATGAAAATAAAAAACATTCAAAAACAGAGCTCAAGTTCTTCAGTAATCCAGCAACAGTGAGATCCCTCCCAAGCAAGGTTTTAAAAAAGAGAAAGAAAAAAAGAGACTAGTAGCAATAACAATCAAAAATTGATGGGAAAAAAATCCATGGAATAGAAATACTGGATTTCACATGAACAATTCAAAAAGCCAACACGAGTATAAAAAAACAATACTGAAGACTGAAGAACTGAAGCTTTTACAAATATCAAGGATATATACTGCTTTATCAAAGGCAAGTTCTTTAAGTAACACCTTTTAAATCTGTATGTACAAATATAAAGAAGCATTAGGGCAAGGTATAAAAAAGCACATTATAATAAGACAAATAATAGGATATCAAATATAAAATAACTAAAAAAATGAGCTGAAATTGAAAAATAAAGCAGAAAAAAGTCAGATAAAAGTTAGGGTGCAGCTACATTGCAGCGCATCAAATGAACAAACAGTCACAACATTTAACATTTATCATCGCAATAAGTGTCCTGCAGTACTTCAGAAATCCCGAGGGGGGCAGCAGTGACGTCCGGGGGACTCCTCCACCATAGAAGAAGGGAATGCGGAAGAGGATGTTAAACATGATAAGACAAACGCGTGTGAGTGTGAGCTGGCTGTCATCGAGAAAGTTCCTGCAGGTTTGGACCGCTGAGGGAGAAGCGAAGGCGCATGTGAACCGTTTTATCTAACCGAGAGAGAGGAGACACACCCGGCCTTTAAAATGTCTGTGATTTCCGAGGAGAATGTGCGCGGCGGGAACGTTTTCAAGGAGATCGGCGCAGACGACGGAGACTGGGAGCCCACTGAGATCGAGAGCCTGTGTATGAACTGCTACCAGAACGGCACGACGCGTCTGCTTCTCACCAAGATACCCTTCTTTAAGGAGATCATCGTCAGCTCATTCAGCTGCCCAAACTGCAGCTGGTCAAACACCGAGATCCAGTCCGCAGGCCGGATCCAGGACCAGGGCGTCTGTTACACACTCAAAGTGAAAACTAAACAGGACTTGAACCGCGAGGTTGTGAAATCAGACAGTGCGACCACCAGGATCCCTGAGCTGGACTTTGAAATCCCTCCCTTCACCCAGAAAGGTGCACTGTCTACCATCGAGGGGCTTTTAGACCGAGCGGTTGCAGGGCTGGAGCAAGACCAAACCCTGAGGCGGGCCAGCCACCCCGAGGTGGCTGAGAAAATAGATGACTTCATCCAGAAGCTGAAGACGTTAAAAGAGGTTGAAAATGAGTTCACTGTGGTGATCGAGGATCCATCCGGCAACAGTTTTGTGGAGAATCCAAACGCCCCTCAGAAAGATGAGGCTCTCATGGTGTCCAGGTTCAAGCGGACGGTCCAGCAGGACATCCAGCTGGGGTTGAGGGCTGACGACGACGAAGGCTTGGAGGAAGAACCGGCCGCCAACGACCTGGACGCCATGAGAAATGAGGTGTTGGTCTTCAACACCAACTGCCCAGAGTGCAACGCGCCGGCCTCGACCAACATGAAGCTGGTCCAGATCCCTCACTTCAAGGAGGTCATCATCATGGCCACGAACTGCGACAGCTGTGGCCACCGGACCAACGAGGTGAAGTCGGGTGGAGCCACAGAGGAGCAGGGCACCAAAATCACCCTGCACATCACCGACCCTTCAGACATGACCCGAGACGTGCTCAAGTCAGAGACGTGCTCGATCCTCATCCCCGAGCTGGAGTTCGAGCTGGGGATGGCAGCCGTGGGCGGGAAGTTCACCACCCTGGAGGGGCTGCTGAAAGACATCAAAGACCTGATCGTCTCCAAAAACCCCTTCATGTGCGGCGACAGCAGCACCACAGACCGGGTGCAGAAGCTGAGCGACTTTGGGGAGAAGATAGACAAGATCATAGCCGGAGAAATGGATGTCCACTTCGTCCTGGACGACCTGGCTGGGAACAGCTATTTGCAGAACGTGTACGCCCCGGAGCCAGATCCTGAGATGACTGTTGAGAAGTACACCCGCTCCTTCGAGCAGAATGAAGAGCTCGGCCTGAACGACATGAAGACTGAAGAATATCAAGAGGAAAAGAAAGAACTGCCAGCAGCAGCTGAAAGGACTGAATGAGCCGATCGTTTATCATGCTTTGTCAAAATCCCAGTGTAATTATATCGCTCCATATTTTCATACATTTTAAGTTAAAAGAAACTGAGTGAATGGTTGTTTCCATCAGTAAGTTAAGCATTGGGAAGAATTCTAAGTTGTCTAAATGTACATTGAAAATAGATTGAAGACATTGATTTGTACACCTAATGGATGCTTCTGTTATTAAAGAGAAATCCTTTAACTCATCGTTTATTGCATTCTTGTGACACCCCAGAAGATGGCGCTCTGTTATCTCTGATTAAAGGGATGTTTTTCTCTGAGGACCACACACTGTGTGACATTATTTTTTTTTTATACACCTGTAAGCATGGCATCATCCAAATAAAGTGTTATTTAAACGGATAGTTTAGCTCTTCTCTTTGAATTGGTAGATGTTGAAAGACACAATGTTGTTTTTTTAGATTCAAACACTAGTTTTCTGCATCTGCAAAACAAAATTATATTGGACAATGAAAGATTGATGATTCAGATTCTTCTAAAGTCTGTCTGCTTTTTACAGATTTACATGACAGTTATACAGCATAAATATATATTTGGGCTGCAACTAATGATTATTTCCTTCCTTCCTTTTGTTGTCAGAAAAAAGTATTGCTTCCCTGAGCCCAATGTGGGATCCTCAAATTCTTTTATCCAAACATTGATCCAAAGCCCAGAGATAACAATTAAAGAACCAGGGGATGTTTGCCTGCTTGACTGAAAAGTTCAATAGATTTTATCAAAATAGTTTCCAATTAATTCCAATTAATCAAATGTAATTCTTTACTACACAACAGTTCAACTGGGTCTGATTTTGAAGAGCCTGTTCTTGTTAACCCAAAGAGTTCATGCACAGTAACAATTTAATTTCAGCTCGGAAAGGACAGCCAGTGTCTGTCACATTAACTTCATTTGCACAGGCCTGTTGGATTTAAACATAATGCTGTTTGCCTCATTCTGATTCAGTCGCAGTGACACAAATGTTCCTCTCCTCGTCTGCTGTGCATGTTTTATCTGGTTTTCATAGCAACGGGGATCTATTGTGTTCTACTAATAGCAGAGTAGTGAATTCCTAGATTACATGGTTCTTGAGTGAGCAGCTGTTAGCGGGCTGCTGCTGATGGAAATAGTAGGTGCCAGGCAGCAGGCCCCCGTAGGCTGATCCCAGACAGCAGAGCACAGTGGCTCTGTGCCCACAGGGTTATTACCATAGAAAACCAATGACTGCCTGAGTTTTCCCCCTCTCATTTCTAAGTACCTTGTGCCATGCATAAAAGCGCTGCTGTTGGTATTACAGTACTTTGATTAATGCAGCTGACTCGTACCCATTATCCACGTGAACACAGGTTATTATCAAATAGCTGTAAGGTAGATAAATGTGGGAGTCGCCTGAGGTGCAGACAGTGTGTCTAAGTAAGTTTATTAAATTTAATTCACCAAAATACAGAGGTAATTTTTTTATCTTTAACTTTTGTGCCAAGCACTATATGATGGTGCTGTGTACTGTCTGCCCTGTCTGCCTGTTTTCTTCTCAATGTGTACCAATTTCCCTCTGGGATAATGAAGTCAATTGATCAATCGGTGAAACTGTATCTAAGGGAATAACGTAATGACATTGAAACTCATCATCACCATTTTAATTCCTTCATCCACCAGGAAAAAAAAAACTTTCAGACTTCAACTTTCAGTGAAATAAATAAATAATCACCTTGCAGTAGAGCTACTTTTTTATACATCCCTGTGCGGCCTGATGGTGGAAAGTTAATACCGCAGACCTGAAGGTGACTGTAAACCATGTGTCAGCCCCTAATAGGGGATGAAATGGATTGGTATCATGTGACTGCTTTTGATTGCCCTAAGCTGCTGGCACCGGTGCCAAATACCAGTATGCTTTGTTTGCTGTGTGACTGGTCTTAGAGGAACTTGCTGGCCCCGCTGAGCATTGGGGCCAAGGACTAAAACAGAGACTGGGACGACTCTGCAGCTGCTCCAGCCACTCAGGACTACCCAGACCAGGCCAGCAACGGGTCACTGAGCAGCACCCTCAAACCAAAACAGAGAGACTTGATGCTGTCTGAAACCAATGGGATTCCCCTCAAATCTCCTGCATGAACCAAACCAATCTACTAATCAACTTATGTGGAACGAATCCCTTTGAGCAACGCTGCCCAAAACAGGGGCCTGTGGGAAAAATATGGCTTTTCACATGAAACGTTTGACCCTCCATGGGGATTCAAGGAGCAAAATGATACTTCACTCTAGGAAATTAAACAGCTTAATCGTGTTTTAGCAGTTTGAGATCACCTGCTCATTACACAGCATCGTCATGTTATCATGATATGAGCTTTGTGAGGTTGTAATCTGAATTGAGAGCCACCAAAACAGTTAGTCTTTGACCTTCGGCCACCATTGTTGGCCACAGTTTGTTTGTGGATTTATGGCTTTGTACTATAGGTGTGATATCCAGGCTCAGATATCCAACATCCTTTTCTAGTTCAGAAACTTGATTTAAACCTTCGTATGTTTGAGGGATTTTTGTTGTTGTTGCGTATATGTAAGGGAATATATTTCATTCGGGGCGTTAAAATACAAGAAGAAGTTGCAGAGTGTGTACAGTGTGGAGAAAAAGAACATTATGTTGTCTAGAAAATTACAGACTTGCTTTGCTTTCAAAATGGATAATCTTCATGCAGCCTAAAGTGGTCCTGATCAACGTCACAGTGCAATTTCTTACCCACAGAGGGGGCAGTTGAGACGGCTGTCATTGGTACGGCCGCGTAGACAGCGGGCACAGAAGATGTGGTAGCAGTCCAACAAACACGGAGACTGGTACTGTTCATGGCACAGGTGGCACACCAGGGGGTGGACATTACTGCAGTCCACGTTACAAAGATTATCCAAGTTGGTGAAGATTCCTCCTGCCATCTGCAAACAGAGTACGTAAATAATGAGAAATTGTTTCAATTTATAGACTATTTCTAAAAAAACACATGATCAGCTCACTAAACAAGAAAGTCTTTGCATGCTGTATGGTCTAAATAGTCTAGTAATCATAAGAGAGACTGAGTGTAATGTGAAGCTCTAATCAAGAGTCAACTGTTAATAAAACTGTTTTCTTTCTCTCTCTTACCTTGTCAGATGTGTGATAAGTTCCTGGGGCTTCAGTGACAACACACTATCCAAAGATGACAAGTAAATAACATAAAAGACACTCTCAACACCAACATTATATCCAGACAACAAATCCCACTGTAAATGCAGTAGGTTAGTCTGCAGAAAGCACAGAGAGCCACTGTCTAACCTCTCACTGGTGCTATCAGCTACCCCCGGCAGGAATGACAGCAATGCAGAAACTCTTCAATAGTAGGCCGATGGGTTCCCTCCGCCAGGCAGCTGACAGCACACACCTCATGCCAGCCCCCCATGTGTTGCCAAAGTGCAAAAGGGACATTTAATATTGCGATCCCATAGAGATTAAAAATACAGTTGTCCCATTTCTAATGTCACACTGTTGTAGGCAGGATGAATGGAGGGTGAGGGGTGGAAATCATAGCGTTTAAAATCATTGAATCTGCTGAACACCTAGATGTCACATGAAACTTTATTTTTAAAAACCTGTTTAAGAATAAAGATACATAAATTAGGATTGTTATTGTTATTAGATACAACTGTAATACAGCAGAAATGTGAAAATGTTTAATGTGGTGAAAATGAAGTGAATAAAAGTGGTTTGATACATTGAGTAAAATGGATAAACAGGTAACTTTTTTGTGTACTATAGTCTATAGTTTTCTAATAATTTCCTTTTAAGTTTATTTAACTTTCTGTCTTTAAAATAACTGCTAATTAAAAGTTCATGCATTATTTAATCATTATAGTCATCTTTATTCTCCAATGTAAAATAAAACATATCTCATCATACAAAATATCTTGACTCAAAGTCCACTTACTTCTGAGGCTTTCAGCTTTCTTCATCAGTGGACTTTGATCCTTTCTCCTGGAAATGGAGGCTGTTCACATAGTTGTAATATTTCTAATTAATCAAGCAACCATACATCTAACAATTACAGTTAAAGGTATTTTCTGGTAAAGATTTAGCTCCTAATTGACAAATGTCTCAGTGGGCAGCAGTCAGCACAGTAATTAAGATCACATCTATCCCCATGTATACCCCTATAAGCTCTCTTAACAATATTTACATATGAACACAGCTATAGGATTAAGATAGCACATCATAAACCACATTTAAAGTACAAACACATTTGACTTAATCGATTCCAGATAAATCGATGCGATCGATGTTGCGGCCGGGTATTATACTTCCTGTCCTGCCTTTGCTCCTTCCTTTTCGCTGAATGTGTCAGCCATGGCCCCGATTGTGAGTACTTCAACGATCAAATAAAGTGCATACAGACGGTATATTGTAGCTCGTCTTAGGCTCTGGTAGAAGTGTAAACAACCCGTGGACCATACTGAGGAAGTTCCGGATGTTTTAAGCTGTTTGTTTGCTGTTGTTTACTGAGTCTGCTAACACCACGTTGGGCTAACGATGAAGCTAACGCCAGCTAGCAGGAGTGGACGTGAAACATGTTTAGTTAGTAACTTTCACGGGTAGTGTAACTTATTTAGAGGTGTTTACTGACAGCGTTTTCCACGCACAGCCTCGGAAACACGATGGCTAATAACTTTAAACGATTATTTAACAGTTACTTTAGTTGTTTTTAAAGTTACACGTGCTGTAATTGTAGTTTTCTATGTGTTTTGAGTGGCCATTTTTTTTTTTTTTTCTGTGCTAGAAAAAGCAGGTGGTCCGGAAGCAAGGTGGGAAGAGGAAGAAGCAGATCCTGAAGTTCACCCTGGACTGCACTCACCCTGTGGAAGATGGCATCATGGATGCTGCCAACTTTGTGAGTAGACCAGTTCATTGTCTGTTAACAGTGCAGCAGCTGTCAGACTGGAGCTGAGAGTCAAACACTAATGTCACATCAGTGGGATCAATCCCAAGACACACACACACACACACACACACACACACACCATTTGTTATGAAAATGTGGAACTCGTGCAGCACTGTGTCCCAACCCCGGCTGCGTCCTCTGCACTTTCAGGAGCAGTACCTGCAGGAGCGCATCAAGGTGAACGGCAAAGCTGGCAACCTCGGAGGTGGAGTGGTGTCCATTGAGAGGAGCAAGAGTAAAATCGCTGTGAACTCTGAGGTTCCCTTCTCCAAGAGGTACAAAACACAATGCGCAATTATCCGTCAAGAAATATCAGGTGGTGGAAATATGGGTTTTCGCGTACCACGGTCATGTTCTCATCATCATCATTTTTTTTTTTTTTTTGATGTATTGGGATTGCAATATGATTCACAATTTTCACTTTCACTATAAAAGCTATTGCAAGGATGGTGTGACATTTGTTAGGGTCTGTACCGGACATGTTTTTTTACCTCTGGGTATAAAGATTTGTAGGGTTCAGTTGATCAGGACCACTTTAGGCTGCATGTAGATTATCCATCTTGAAAGCAAAGCAAGTCTGTCATTTTCTAGACAACATAAACATAATGTTCTTTTTCTCCACACTGTACACACTCTGCAACTTCTTCTTTGTATTTTAACTTCCCGAATGAAATATATTCCCTTACATATACACAACAACAACAAAAATCTCTCAAACATACGAAGGTTTAAATCGAGTTTCTGAACTAGAAAAGGATGTTTTCACATTTTAGATCAATCAAAAGACTGCGATTTGGGTATTGCACTCGGCCGTGTCGGTATTCATAAATGCCACAAGAAGGGGACGTTCATACGGGTTCTTGTGAACAGGGTGAACGTGACCCCATTAGACGGTAGCATATGTCACGTTTGGCGACTTCAACCACACGGAATGAATCATTATGTTGACTGAAATTACAGATGGTAGAACTTTGATTATAATTCAGGTCAAATTTCTTCCATAAATACCAGAAGCAACTATTCTGAACAGCATTGTTTCAGTTTCAGCATTGTTGGAATAAATGGGGTTTTAACTGAAGCTTTGTGGGTGTTTAAATGCTTAGTCTCTATTGGAGGTAAGAACTGTGAGTTACACTCATCATCCAGTACTGAAGCACACAGTTTTGAATGGACTGATAATAATTATTAATGTCTTGGTCTGATAAGCAATAAATATCTTTTATACCATGTTTTATTTTCCCTAAAGGGCCAGTTTAGGCAGATATATAGCCAGAAATGGAATATTAAATACATAGGTATGTTTAGTGTATAATCACCTGAAAATAAGGAATCGTTGCTTTCATTACCTTTTACAGTGAGCTGTTTTTATGTGTGCCAGGTATTATCCAGCCCTCAAGTTATTTTTTGGTTTTATTTGTAGAGGTTCTCTGAGATCTTTGCTGCAGTCTTGTCCCACTTGCCCCATACAATGGAGATGTAATTTTTGTTTGTGGTGCCCAAAGCACTGAGACACGCATTCATCATTAACTACTCTGTATTGAAGCAACAGTTGAAAAAGGCAAAGAAAAGAAGAATGTGTGTACTTTTTCACAGCAGACATTTTGACCTGTCAAAGTAGGGAAAGCGCAGGTTTTACTAATAACATGAACTATAACTTGGTTCTATTCAAGTGTCCCAGTAAGCTGTGACAGTGAGTCAGCATGCACCGTAGCAGTACCCTGAAACCAAAGCATCGCAATGGAATTCAGCCGTCGTTAATTTCATTATGTACACCTACAGCCTTGTAAACATTTTACTTGTTTGCACACAACAGAAAGAGCCTAAAAATCACCCCACATGTCTCCTACAACTGAAGTGAATACAGTGATGTTATGTATAATGATATCCTCTAATATTAAAACTGATTTCCAAATTTGAAAGTATACACAGACCCATAAATACTGTGTGAAGACTTCACTAACTATTTCAGTCTGAGCTGGAACTCCACCACCAGAGGGTGACTCCACCACTTCCATTCCTAAAAGCAGAACTTATGACTGGTAAAAGTCACTGGCAGATGTTACTATTATATTATTATTATATATATTATTATATATCTCATAGAATTGTTTGTAACCTCTGTGTAAGATAGAGCTTCTCCTTCTCATTCTCAGTAATTCAAACATACCCAGACTGCATTTCTGCCAGTGACACACAACACTGCTTAAATCTGTGTGATGTTGATACATTTAATAAACTCCAGATTTGGGGTTTCTTACTTAACTTGACTTGTATGTTATGTTGCTGTATTTTAGGGCCAGTTAATATTCCAAAATCCAAATACAGAACATTTGCTTTACTCAATTGTGTAATGAAAATTAAGGTTTTATTGCATAATTGCTAAATAATATTACTAAATAATTACTTACTATTATTAGAAGTTGTGTTTGATAGCATGAATTTGTTATAAATATTACTTTTCCCCCCCTCATCTCTTTCAGGTATTTGAAATATCTCACCAAGAAGTACCTGAAGAAGAACAACCTCAGGGACTGGTTGCGGGTCGTGGCCAACACCAAGGAGAGCTACGAGCTGCGCTACTTCCAGATCAACCAGGACGACGAAGAGGCAGGCGGGAGATTAAACCTGAGACGATTCTAATAAATTGGAAGACAGGAGAAGACGAAATCTGTGCCTTGATCCTTTTTCTTAAAGACTGTTTTTCTCTTCACGTTCGTGTGCAGGTCTGGGCATCCACATCACGGAGAGAGCATTATGAATAGTAAACGCTGCATGCTTTACTGTGATGTTTTTTGTTTTATTTTAATGATCTCGTAGCCGCATGCCAGGTTAATTAAAACGGAGGTGCCGGATGCGGAGCGCAGGGCGGTCGGCGCGCGCGTGCAGGCTTGCTTGGTAGTTAAGAACCGGATGCCCATGTTTGTGTAGCACCGTGTTTGTGGGTATCTGTTTACTCGTTTTGGGTACCGTTTTTACCCGCTGTCACCTGAGAATCTTCTACACGATGCCCCTGACTGAGGAAGAATGATCGTCGGACGCCTTATTGGCAGGAAATCAGGCTGCCGCTAAGGTGTCATGGGGCAAGGAAATGACAAGTGTACACAAGTAAAAGTTATGTTAAATAGAGGAAGAAATAAAAACAAAAGAGCTTATAATTAATTGTTGAATACAAATTAAATGAAGTTTGGGGTATGGGGGGGCCCTTACGCAGACTTCTTCATAGATTTGAGTATTTTGTGCATTAAATGAAGTTGAACTGTGTGCCTGTCTCCTGGTGAGTCTCCGTGGGGCATGCCCTGGCGTGTTAAGCGTCGGGTGGTAACGTTGACAACATTAGACACGCGTGGGCACCTCAGGGCCTCCTCACTCAGCCAAGCAGGGCTCATCAGCTGCACTTGCTCTTCTTTTCATATGTGTGTTGTGTGTGGAGGTTTCCCAAAATAAAGACACAGTTCACATGTTCTGCGTTACCCCCGGCATGTCTGATGCGTTTAAAATCAAATCAGAGCAGGACATACTGAATAGAACAGAACGCCCCCCCCCCTCCCAGCCTTTTTTAGGAGCGAATAAATGTGGTTCTCTTTCCTTTCTTCTCTTCCTCCCCCCCTCCCTTACGAGCCAGCTTCATATTTAGGTAAAGGTCTCTGGGTGAGGAAGCAGTTCAGTAACCCCTGTCCTGTCATCAAGATTCTCCCGGACTTTCCAGAAGGCACGGGCAGCGCAGCGCCGCACTGTGTCGCCTATTATAGCCGGCACATGGCGTTTGCCGCCGTGTGTTGTTTTTTTTTTCCTCTTCCCGCGACACTATAGTTGAAGTGGTACAGGAGGCATGACTAAGCTAGTTGTGGGTGAAATTATGGGTATGTCATGCGTCATGGCAAACCAGACAGAACGTCACAATCTGGCATGCGTGTGTTCCATTGTTTGTCTTTCCTTGATTTTTTCGACTGGAAGACCGTGGAAAGAGTCAGTGGGAAAAAAAAATAATATAAATGTTTTTTATTTTTCACTCCCGGAGGTGAAAGCCCCCAGATTTACTAGCTGCAAACAAGGATAATTAAAAAGAAAAAAAAAAAAAAAAATATTTCAACTGAGCGGCGAATACATTTCTTTTTTTTTCTTTTTTTTTTGGGTGAAGAAAGAGACTGGGCTGCGGCGTCTGGAGGGTTAACTTTCAGTATTCTCAGTCTAAAAGGGGGTTTGGGGGCTATGAGATAAAGATGCCGGGGTCGCTGAGTAATGAAGACGAGGGACAAGACGACATGGATTTTGAAGACGATATGCCAGGTGAGGGAAAGGGGGGAGGCGGGGTGTCCTTCAGATTATTTTGCGCCGCTACGCCTTGAATGCGGGGAAAAGGGCTTGTCCTGCGTTCCTGAGACCAGAGAGGAGGAGGAGGGGTGGGGTGCAATAAGCAGAGTCATGCTATTATTTTTTTGCACGACCTAGTGTCTTAAAGGTGGGAACGGGTTTTTTTTTTTTTGGTGGATTTGCCTCCGGCTGTCCTC